ATGCTCTGTTAACGTCACCTTCAGAAGCTCGTCCGACCGTGACAACTTTCAATAGTGTGCCCCTTCTAATTCCAACCTCCGAGCTGTCCGTGGAAGCAATTTATGTTCCGTTTATATAACAATACAATTTTTAATTGTTGCTTTCTCTACTATGATGGTGATTACAGGCCGGATGTAAAATCCTTTGTGCGGCTTACAAAATAAACAACAGTTTAGTAGCTCAACGACAGAGTCCAAACGAGAGTGTTCACCAATTACCGAGTGTTGGACGGTACATTCTCGCAAAAAGAACCCATGGGAGATTAGTGCATCTTTAATATGACATTAACACACTGAAACTTGGGATGCAATTATCAAGTGTCACTACTGTAATCCAAAAGTACACAATCATACCCTGCATTTATCCATTTTTGTTGGTGGTAAGTGTCGAGATGCATAGATTTGCTGCTGTTTACAATATTAAGGTTGGGGTAGAAATTGTTGTGCCGCATTGCCTTCGCTTCTTCCAGATATCCTCTGAGCCTCAAACATCTTTGAATTTGGCACTAAAATCTGTTAATTGGTTGAAAGCTAATATTAATGGTCGCAGAAGAAAAAAAAAGTATCTCTGGTTAAATTTATAGAATGTAGAAAAATAGTTGGAATTGAAACCCAAGCTACATATGAAATTACTAGACAGGTGTTGTAGATTTTAAGGATGTTTGATTACACTTAAGAGGCAACTCTCTGCTGCTTAACAGCATGTTTTCATATGCCACACCATGTGAATTACTGCACTTGGATTAAATCCAAGTTGTTGTCTTGTTGGTTGTGCTGGATGATAAATGATCCATAACTTTAATATTTGCTCAACTTTGTACTTGGACGATCTGTCTAGATATCCTTGTCATATCTTTGTTGCTTTTAGAATTCTTCTGTTATGCGTTTCTTTAAACTAGATGGAAGAGATAGAACTACATATGACCTTAATAGAATATATTATGATTGGAGTTCCACCATTACCCTGTTTGAAAGAAAAAGAGAAAACTCGAACGACACTTTAGAGAGAAGTGTGTAAGAGAAAATTTGTTTGGGTAATTGAAATGAGCATAAATGCTCTCTATTTATAAACTGAGAGAAGGAGCTAAAAACGACCAGAAAATATCCTATTAACCGTCAAATCGATCATTGCAATACTTCAGACGTCTTAAAATCAGCAGTCAAAAGGCTCTTATAATTTTAATAAGAGATACAAAAATGTTCAGACACAAAAAATAACCTATTAAAAAGAGAGAATGATAGTATATAAACTATCATCTCATTCTCTCCCTATTGTAGGATTAAACTTTGTAAATGCATTAGCGTTTCTAATAGGTGCTTATATCCATTCAATTTGGCTCGTTGACAAATTCCAAAAGTTTCTACATTTCTTGCTCTTGGTAATGAGTTGAAAATCATGATAATCAATTCTTGCACGTAATAGGGTGTCTGTGGAAACCAAACTACAGTTATTAGTCCATTAGTTCAGTGAACAGTTTCAAATATCATCTTCTACATGTTATCAACTTATATCGAACTATTATTCTCTTTGATAAGGATATTTTCCGCACCCTTCTTTGTTATTTTGCAATGCCATGTAGTTGCCTAAGTATTTAATATGGTTTTTTGTTCTGCTTTTTGGTAGACCTTGTTGTTGGTAGATCTGAGTGTTTCTTTTACTGTTCTGTTTGAGCTTTTGCACTGGTATAAGTGTCAGAATCTTACCTGGAGCCTACCCTGCGTACCTACTTGAAATAATTCGATTCAGGTTGAACCAATATATGAGCAGTAAGCAATTATTTCATCTAACTGGATGGAACCTTTACTTCAACTGGGGTTGTGCTGTAATAAAGAACCTCTCTGCTTTACCACTTACCAGCATGATACTAGCCTGTGTCTCTATGATGTTTCAGAGTGATCCTAGTCTAACGTTTAGCCAAATTGGGTCAAACACTGTCTAATGCCTACCACTATGAACGAGTAACAATGGTGGACAGAGACATTTTGCAAAATGCAGTTATCTTTTCTGCTATGATTCCCTGGACTAGTAAGTACCTAACTCCCTAGGTTGGTATCTGCTTAAATTGATTAAAGTGGTTGGCATCATCCAATGTTAAGTTATGATATTCTCTTTAATCAAGCCATCAATACCTTTCTATTTCATGTGACATTTTTCTTAGAATTTATGCACATTGAAGGATGAGGACGCATTCTTCAGTGATTCTGCAGAATCACATAAGAAACTTTCAGAACTTGGGTTCAATCCTAGTTCCTCTCTATCCAAACTAGTTGTAAAGGACAGGACCGTATTGGATAATGTCTGAACTCGAATCCTAGGAAGAACAAAGCTACATGAAAAATAAAGCAAATTTGAGTTATGATGTGGATTTAGATATCTGAAACAGACCTTCCTGTAAGATTAAAAGAGTCCCACAAAATGATAAAAAAAGAAAAGGTCTCACATGGTGGGGGCAGCCAAAAGGTAGGTAGGTAGGTAACGTAATGATCTTGAGCCACTTTTTGGACAGCTCTTCTTGTACAAATTCAATACCTAAGCACATGATATCCACGTTCTGCTGTATGGTCACCATAACCTGATCATTGCAATCCTTAACCTAAGCCCTTACCCCCATTTTAAGGATCTTGATCAATCATGTAGTTATAAAACCCCATTCATATATTCTCTTTTGGTTGGGTTATTAAGGTTAAATTATCGCTGCTAATTATTCTGTTTTTTTTTCTAACTCATCACAGTTATATGTGTTTTTTTTCTTTTTTAGATAAATGAAAAAGTTGTATTCATCCAAAAGAATCAATCTGTACAACCCAACACCAAAAACAAATAAAATCAGCACGTAATAACAAGCATGAAAATCAAAAGAAAGCAACTATAACAGCCCCCACTCTGCAGCAAGAGCAGTGGAAGATGCAGTAATTTTCGAACAGCCCCGTAGCCTCTCACTAACAACACGTTTAATTATTATTATTTGTTTTATTAAATTAAGCATTATATGTTCTAAATACTCTCAACTATTTGACAATGAATGTTTAATTACTCTTGCAGTCGCTGGTGCTCGAACCTTTGACCTCTAGAAACAACAAAATTTTCTTTAACTACTGAGATAATTTGGTTTGTGCCCCTAACTCGGGTTAGATTTCAAGTGAATGAGTTTTTTTCTCGAGTCGGGCTGGATTGACCGAAAATCCGATCTAACTTTACTCATACCCATCCCTAATTGTTATGATTACCTTATTATAAAAGTACAAGTCCGAATGATACCAAATTAAAATGCAGGCACTAGATCTCAAATATGAGTGCAATAGAAGGGCTAAAACCATAATTTGAGCGGTTAATAATCAAAGAATTCTCTTATAAGTGTTATAGGAGAGTCATGTGGTTGTGGAATAGAATAGGGATGACTTGGGTTGGGAAAGAGACGTTTGGTTAAAAAGCCAACCTAACCGATTTGGATGATTTGAGCCGTCTGATTGAAACAGGTTAGGCACCATTCAATTCATGCGTGTAGGTATATGTTCGATCCATCCTTTTTTTATACTCTTCAGCCAATGTAAATTAATTAATTTTTTTGTTCAAACAAAAACAAAATGGATAGGCAAAGTTGGATTTTTGTTAAAAAGATGAAAGTAGAGAAATTTAGGGACAATATTGAAAATTCTTAAAATGGTCTGCCCATATAGTTTCAACATCAAAGTGTTAGGACCAGTTGCAAGGACAGTCAGAAAGGTGAAAAAGTAGGTGAAACCACCCCCCTTTACTACACTTTGACCTAATTTAGTAGTTAAATAGATTATTATTATTCGTAAATATCATAATATAATATTTACAAAAAAAATATTCATTATTAAATCACTAAAAATCTTTTAAATAAATTATTATTTGTAATCATTTCCAACAAATAAAAAAAATCTAAATGCAAATTTGTGGGGGGAGAGATTGATTGAAGATAGCAACAAAAAGGGTGAAAAGAATCAAGCTTTCCCATCCCTAACCTCTGCCGCCCATCTTGTTGCCTAAACTTAAACCACAAGGTTTAAAAGTACCCAAAAGAATATTAAAGGGAGAATTGGAAGGTGGAAGGTGACCCAAAGCCTACAAACAAGACAACCACAACCACAACCACAACCACACTCATATCATATGAGACTATTTTGAGTATATCTTTTCCCTGCCCCCCCCCCCTCTCTCTCTCTCATCATCATCATCATCATCATGCCTGAACCCTAACCTCCATGTCTTCTAGAAACCCTCTTCTCTCTCCCTTCTTCCCTCCCTCTCTTTCTCGTGAATGATGATAGTATTAGTATACCAATCGAATAAAGTTCCACAACTACCGTCTATTTATCATGATTTATTCACAAATATAGGCCTATCCACTTGGACATTTTTTCCCCATCAACACATCAAATATACCCATCTTTTAACTTTGCTTCAAGATTTGATCTCTAGTCGACTAGACAACATTCATGAACATATATTAAAATATCATGTATTACATCCAAAATATACACGTTAGAGCATAAATTAGGCGGTCTTCATGATTAAAGAGATGATTATTATCTCTAGAGATTTTAGATTTGAACACATCATCTGCATGTATATTTAAACGTTTATTGTCAAATATTTAAGTCTTTCAAATATATATTACTTATAATAATATCAGACTAATCAATATATGTAAATTAGAGCATGTATTCAGTTAAATGTAGTATAATGAGTTGGGATAGATTATGAAAGCTAACTAAACTATTAATCTAAAGTAGTACAGATTTAGACAAAGTGGCCAAAGGTGGGAGGGAAAAAAAGGAAAAGATGGGGTGGGAAAGAGAGAGAAGAGATCACACTTTGTCCTACCCATACTTTAATATAATATTACTTTACACCTACCTAAAGGTTACCCTACAGTTAATATATATCCCCCCTTTAACTTTATTTTATATATATATATATATGATTGATGCTAATATCTATATAAAAAAAAAGAGAGATGCCACCATCCACTCCCTTCTAACCTGCCTCACCAACTCACATCTAGAAGCTAAAATTAGGGTCACTGCCCTCTTTCTCTGTGTTTGTGCGTGAGTATAATAGTCAAAAGGTTATAAAAACAGAACAGCAAGCGTAGATTATAGTGGTAGTATAGTTTCCACACTAGCTGAAAAGGGTTTGGGTTGCTGAATTATGGGGAGGTCTCCTTGTTGTGAGAAAGCTCATACGAACAAAGGTGCATGGACCAAGGAAGAAGATGATCGTCTCATTGCTTACATTCGAGCCCATGGTGAAGGTTGTTGGCGTTCGCTACCTAAAGCTGCTGGCCTTCTCCGTTGTGGTAAAAGTTGTAGGCTTCGTTGGATCAACTACTTGAGACCTGACCTTAAACGTGGCAATTTCACTAAAGAAGAAGATGAGCTCATTATCAAGCTTCACAGCCTTCTTGGTAACAAGTAAGTCTATATGTATTCAAGTTTGATTACCATGTTTAGTGCTTGAAATTTTTTTGAATGGTTTTTGATGGAATTTGTATAGGTGGTCTCTCATAGCGGGGAGATTACCAGGAAGAACTGATAATGAGATAAAGAATTACTGGAACACACATATAAGGAGGAAGTTATTGAACCGAGGGATTGACCCGGCGACTCACAGGCCGATCAATAAGGCTTCTCAGGATGTAACGACGATATCTTTCAGTGGTGCCAAAGAAGAGAAAGAGAAGATTAGTAACCCTAATGGATTCATCAACAAAGAAGAAAAGAAAATCCCAGTTCAAGAAAGCTGTCCAGACTTGAATTTGGACCTCAGAATTAGCCCTCCTTACCATCAAACCACTCAACCAGAGCCATTGAAAACTGGAGGAAGAACTCTTTGTTTTATTTGCAGCATAGGGGCTAAAAACAGCAAGGACTGCGCTTGCAGCATCGACAGTAGTGCTGGTACCAGCAATAGCAGTAGCAACAGCAGCAGCAGTGGCTATGATTTCTTAGGGTTGAATTCAGGTTTATTGGATTATAGAAGCTTGGAAATGAAATAATTGAAAACAGGGAAGTTTGGATTCTTAACTATGTAGTTCAACAACCCCAAAAAAATTTGGAGAGAAATGATATGGAGATTGTTATTAGTTTTTAAATCTCTTTCATTTATATCTCTAATTTGTATGATCATTATATATCAAATATATACATATAGTAATAGCATAGATGATCATTGTTGGTGAATGTTTATGCATCTTCTTCTTTTCAATGTGAATTTGAAGTGAACAAGTACAACCTTTTACAATCACTTTTTTTTTTTTTTCATTTCATTTGACAATGTAACTGCTTTTTCTTTCTTATTTCACTTTTTTTTCCAATAATAATCTAGGATTTTGTCTTGTTGTGATATTGGGGAAGGCAAATGGATAAGCCGTGAGAGGAGGAGAAAGGAAGAAGGGAGTGGTGGGCAACCTATTTCTTCCACTCTCCACATTCACAACAACAATAAAAATGCGTGAAGAAACTACACACATCTCTTCCATGTACCTACCAACCCCTAAAAACATTTATCATCCCCCTACCTGCCTAACTATTCTAGTTCTATAATCAATCACGATAAATATCAACGATAATTGAAATTGAAACTCGAGAATCAATGATCAAACCCGACTCTTCAAAACTAGCTTAGCTATGTTATCCACCATTAATTTAATTCGTATCCACTTATAGCTTTTATTGGTGTGGGAATTGAAGAAGAAGAAGACAAGTGAAAATGAAGTTGAATTTGGTAGAGAGGAGACGGGGCATTGATGAAGGCAGGCAAAGGTTGCAATCTTCACTCTAATAAAAGCTATAATTTTATAATATAAATGAAATAATGTCAGTTAAATACCAGTCGTTCTACAGATATCTTATGAGACATAAATTTAACTTAGATCTTGTTTTAGTATTATATTATAATGTCAAATATAAATATAATTAGTTCTTGAATCTAATGAGTGGTTTCAATAACAAAATGAATAGTATTTTTTTCTAAATGATTTGGATTTAAATAACTTTATCTATAAACATGCGTAAATTTAAATCCAAACACAAAAACTGTCTTCATTTTGATTATCAAGTTTCATATCTATTTATACATAATATTATCAATGCTTTATTAACCATAGTATTGGACTTGAACAAATTAGAGGTTATGATGATAATTAATCAGTGGTCATGCCATTAAAGGGTTTAAAGCTCGTTAAGCTTAGGTTTTCCATGAACAACGGGATAACGTACCAAATTATACAAATAGTTGGCAATAATCTGTCCATCATCAATGTTGTATACTAACCTGTCGTAACCGTCTTTCGGTTGGGCCCCGGAATTGGGCTTCGACTTGAAAAATGTGATTGGAGTCGCCACCGATTATTTATTTAAAAAATAAATAGGTTAATCGGATACCTTATATCTTACCTGATCTGCGTCTTACCAAAGATATGTCGGATTCGGGAGTCGATTACGGTCAAGGAAGGATTAGCACCCTTGAACCGTCCTTTCGGTACTACGTAATTTGCCGGTTGTCTTAAATTAAGAAAATTGTAATTTAAAATTAAAAGGTAAAAATACGATCACAATTACTTACCTTAGATAGTTTTAAAGGTGTGGCCTTAAGAAGGTCAAAAAACCATGTTAGATAAAAAGGTAATAGATAAAAAGGTAAGAAATAAATAAATTAATTAAATTAACATAAAGAGAAAACAAATTAAATAAAAGATAAGATAAAGAAAACAAAGATAAAATAGTAAGTAATATAAAAAATAAAGAAAAAGAAGAAAAAAATATAGAAATAAAACAAATAAATAAAATAATAATAAAAAAGTAAAAATAATATATATATAAAATTAAAAAAAATTAAAAAAGTAAATATATATATATATATATAAATTAATAAAACTGATAATAAAAAATAATATATTTATATATATAATCTAAAAAAAATAAAAATATATACTAAAGTAAAAAAGAAAATACATAAAATGTAAAAAAAATATTACATGAAAAAAAAAGAAAAATAACAAAACAATTAAATAAAATGAGTAACAAGGGAAATGTGCTTATAAATAAAGTTAAATAAATAAAATAATAATAATTAAAACGTAAATGTAAGAGACCAAATCAAAAGTAAAAAAGATACTACCTTTTATTTATTTTTCGAATCGTTTACAATAGCTTTGCCTTTGTATCTTCTCGTGCTTTCCTCTATGTTTTGTGTGTAAATCGTGTCCTACAATGGTGAGTTACAATGGCTATTTATAGTGCTTGTGGATCCTACCTTTAGGAATTTAAATAATAGTAGAACTCTATCCTATTTTTAGGAGTTTGAATCCTAGCAAAATTTTATCCTATTTTTAGGAGTTTGAATCCTAAAATTCTATCATATTTTTAGGAGTTTCAATCCTAGTAGGACGAAAAATGTGTGTTGACAGCTGCCCCTCTTTGCCCATAGTCGTGTAACGGGGATAGGGCAAAGATTAAAAGACACACTTTTCGTTCAGTGGAGTTGAAAATTAACTCTGATGTTTCAATAACTCCCTGTCGAATTGAGTTACGGATGACTCCTCCATCGTGAAGTCGAGTTCATCTTGAAATGATATGAAATTAAAGCCGTAGTTCGGAATTTGAATCTGCACGTGGCTTCCCGTTACCCTTCGGTCTTCTTCTCGGTTTAAAGACCTTGGATCGGAATCGAACTCAGAAATCTTCATTGACAGATAGCTTTTTCTTGACTTAAGCTATGCTGTTTGAAAATGGTTGCTTGTCACTAAGGCACGGCTAACCCAGGTCCTCTTCTCGACTTGAAAACCTCGACTGCAACCGGAAAGTAGTGCGATTGATGTGTCATCGAGCTGAATGGAGTCGAACTCGACAATTTTGATGGCAGATAATCTTTCTTTGAGTTGGATATCCTTCGTCGTGAAGTTGAAATCCAAGTAAGTAGCATTGTTCCAAGTCCAATATCCTCCGTCGTGAAGTTGAAATTGGCTCTGGAACCGGGAAATTGTTTGTTGACAACTAGCCGTCCATTCGTTGTGAAGTTGAACTTGTGTTGTCTCGAGTCCAATATCCTTCGTTGTGAAGTTGAAATTGAATCTGAATGAAATTTTGTTGACAAGCAGCGGTCCCTTCGTCGTGAAGTTGAACTTGCGTTGTCTAGAGTCCAATATCCTTCGTTGTGAAGTTGAAATTGGTTCTGAGATTGGGAAGTTGTTGTTGACAAGCAGCGGTCCCTTCGTCGTGAAGTTGAACTTGCATTGTCTGGAGTCCAATATCCTTCGTTGTGAAGTTGAAATTGGCTCTGAGATTGGGAAGTTGTTGTTGACAAGCAGCGGTCCCTTCGTCATGAAGTTGAACTTGCGTTGTCTGAAGTCCAATATCCTTCGTTGTGAAGTTGAAATTGGCTCTGAAATTGAGAAGTTGTTGTTGACAAGCAGCGGTCCCTTCATCGTGAAGTTGAACTTGCGTTGTCTGGAGTCCAATATCCTTCGTTGTGAAGTTGAAATTGGCTCTGAAATTGAGAAGTTGTTGTTGACAAGCAGCGGACCCTTCGTCGTGAAGTTGAACTCCAAGTATTTTATGTTGCGGGTGGACACAATTCCCTTCGCCGTGAAGTTGAAACCGTGGAGACCCCTTTATTATGAAGTTTGGCTTCGAGCTAGATATCCTTCGTCGTGAAGTTGAAATCCACTCTCGAGCAAATTGTGTCGCTTTGAGTTCAATATCCTTCGCCGCGAAGTTGAAATTGACTCTAGCTAAAACCTGAAAAAGTTATGCATATATGTGATGCTATGTATGCAATGCTCTTAGGTGTGCCTAAAATGTATATGCAACATATGTTATCTTGGGGCTCTGGAGAGAAATCTCGATCTCCAGTTGCCTGTCTGGAATCTTGATTCTTGAATCTTCAAATTTTGATCCCTGATCTTGAATTCTTCAAATGTTCAAATCTGATGTGCACATTCTATTTTTGATTTGAGAAATGCTTCTCGACCATCTCAAGTATGTGCCTGAGCTGAGTGTAACGGTTCAGATGATGCTTCAAAAGAAGTTGTCTTGAAAGAGATAGAATTTGTTTCAAGGGAAACGATCTCAAAGATATCTGTTGTTTCATGAGAAACGGTCTCAAGGGAAACAAAATTATGTCTTAAGGGAAATAAATTTGAAGATTTTGTGTTTCAAGAGTAACTGTCTCAAGGGAGACAAAATTTGTTTCAAGAGAAACTGTCTCAAGAGAGACAAAACTTAGTTCCAAAAGAAACTGTCTCAAGGGGAACGAAATTTGTTTCAAAGAAAACATATTTAAATATTTAGTTTCAAGGGAAACTGTCTCAAGAGAGACAAAATTTATTTCAAGGGAAAATGTCTCAAGAGAGACAAAATTTATTTCAAGGGAAACTGTCTCAAGAGAGACAAAATTTTGTTTCAAGGGAAATTATCTCAAGAGAGACGAAAATTTATTTCAAGGGAAATTATCTCAAGAGAGACGAAAATTTATTTCAAGGGAAATGTTTTCAATGTTTATGTTTCAAGAGAAACTGTCTCAAGGGAGACAAAATTTGTTTCAAGGGAAACTGTCTCAAGAGGGGCAAAACTCTTCTAGTGAAAACGGTCTCAAGCGAGACAAATCTTGTTTTAAGAAAAACAATCATGAGTGAAATAAATCTTCTTTCGAGTAAAACAGTCCCAAGTGAGACAAAGTCTGTTTTAAAAAAGCAATCTCAAGTGAGATAATCATCTGCATTAAATGAGACTGTCTCAAGCGAGACATAATTTATATTGGAAATGTCGAATCTGAAAATGAATGTCGATCTTTCTATCTGTCGAGTTGGTTGAAGTGTAGCTTCTTGCTGCTGAGCTAAGCAACCGATATCAATTTGTAAAGGTGCTTTTGAATCGAGTATCCTTCGTCTTGAAGTCGAAACTTGACTCTAAAAGCTGCAAAAATTGTGTATGTGGGAAAAAAATGACAAATATGATGTTATAAAATGTATGCATAAGATGCATGTAACATGAATTGGTTATGTTTTATCTCCTGAAAAAGGTCTGATAATTTGCATTAGGATGTTGAATCCCCAAAGATGCCCCAATATCCAAAAATACCCCAATATTTGATGTTGAATCT